ACCAAAAGCAGTGTTTTAATGGAAACCAGTCCCTTGTAACATTCTAACACATGCCATATACTCAGGAGAGAAAAAGATGGGTTGCTTAATACTGTTGGAGCCGAGTTACATTAAAACCATGTATATTCCATCTAAACTTAAGTCAGCATTCAAATTAAAACAAAACAGAGAACTCAAGAAAAAGGATAATATATAAGTTGACAGGGCCTAGAGGCTGCCTTAACTTTGATCCCAATGAGTCATGCTCATTTTTGCACATATTTGCTCTGATATTGAATTTTTTAAAATTGTGGAAGTCAGCCACTTTGTAAAGTGACGCTTACTTTACAATATACTTATTCCATAATATAACACACTGCAAAGGAATTGGTAATCCTTTGGCACATTTAAATTTTATCTGGAAGCCAAAATACTCCTTTAAGCCTCTTCTCTCAGAAATGTGGAATGGCACAGCATCACAAAATACTGAATTGTCGCCTTTAGTTAAAACAGATTACTTTTGGGAGAGTATTCCTGGGGCTTAATTTAAACATGGGTGCAATACAGAGATAGGCATACAAAAGACCCATTGAAATCAAGAGTAATAAAATGCACAGTTCAAAGGCTATAGTTCCATTTGTTTCAACCAAGCTTGATGCCCACTTCTAAACAGATTTACTCCCAAGTAAATCCAACAGATCTTTTTCCAAGAAAGAAACATTAGAGATATGTTGTATGGTGAAGAGTAATGTCTGACCAATAGTTTACTTTTCTCAATTAGGATTCGTGTGTTTAAATGACCCTGTATCTGGCAGCATCAACATTCAACTTTCTGTTGTCATTCATGTTATCTGAGTAATTATATAGTGTTCCAACATCCCTACAAATTGGCACAGAAATTAAAGCATGTGTGCTGCCAAAAAAACAGGCAATATAAAGAACATTTGAAACACAACTTCAAAACTAATCTCAACCCAACTGTTGGAGGAGAAATCCTATTAGTTCGAGACAGCATAGCCAAAGGGGAGGAGCACTGGGAGTTGCAGTTCAACAACACAATGTTTTCTGTGCCAGAGAATCCTTAAGTCTCACTCCAGTCTACAAATCTCAGGAAATCATAATGTAAGGGTTTCCCCTAACATTAAGTCCAGTTGTGTCTAACTCTGGGGGTTGGTGCTCATCTCAATTTTTAAGTCAAAGAGTCAGCATTGTCCGAAGACACCTCCAAAGTCATGTGGCCAGCATGACTTCATGGAGCACTGTTACCTTCCTGCTGGAGCAGTACCTATTGATCTGCTCATATTTGCATGTTTTTGAACTTCTAGTTTGGCAGAAGCTGGAGCTAACAGCAGGAGCTCATGCCATTTTCCACATTCGAACCTCTGACCTTTCGGTCAGCAAGTTCAGCAGCTCAGCGCTTTAACCCACTGTGCCATCGGGGGCTCCTTAGGACAGAACAATGACAGTTAAAGTGGTGTCAACTATCTGTAGTGGTGCAGTGTGGATAGTACAACCAGAGACAAACCGTACCACAAATATTTTATAACACCATTAGCCTACAATTGGTCAAAGATCAACAATGATACTATTGAGTATACAGTATACAAAAATGTATCAAATAGCACATTCCATTTTATTCTGCCAGTTTCTTTTCATTCTTTTGTTCACCTTTGTACCAGTTGTTGGTATAGTTTGTGAGGATTCTCTCCCCACCTTCAAAACTGTCCTGTCTCCTTGTGTTCACAAATGTTCAACACTGGCTCTTTACCATCTCTGTAAATAAGCTTGTAAGTATTCTATTTAGCAGGAAAGTTTCCTGCCACTGAGTAACAGGGGTGGGAGGTTGTTGTTCAAGAGATGTTGAAAGCGTGCTCACAATTGCTCTGCATAATCCTTTATCCATTCTGCCAGAGTTCCTTTTTAGAGCATCTTATTGTTCTGTCACATTCCTCTTTGTTCTGCTGTTTTACTTCTTCCTACTGTCAGTCTGAAAAAGCAGAAGCAAATCCCTCATTTGGATATGAAGAAAGGATGAATGAATAACTAACCTTCTCACCTGCACAGTTTGTCAGGCATTTCCCAGCCAACATCCTATTAAAGAGCAGAAGGAGTTGAGGATCATGTCTGAGATTTTTTACTATCACAACAAAATGGAGGAAGAGGGTAGAAATGGCCACTTGAGCAATGGAAACCTGGGCATTTCTTCTGCAGATGAAAACAAATTACATTATTCACCAAGGACTCAGCTGGCTCTACCTGCAATGCCCCACTCCATTAGTCACAGAAGTGTTCAAAATAGGCATTTGAAACTTCCAGACCTGGTTTGGGTATGACTATGTACATTGCCTGAAAGCTTTTTCTCCTATTATTTCTGATCAAAGCTCAGAGAAGATGTAAAAAGCTATCAATCTCAGTTCCTTGAATCTTTTTCGAGGAACTGAGTTCTGACCTGCTCCCCTTCAAAGATAAATAATAATTATATGGATTGTTAAGGAATTGATCACTTTTTTGCTTTGGCTTTAGATGTGCCCTGGTGATTGATAGAATATGGACACCCCAAAATTCTTCCCAAATTAGAACTGAATCTTCCCATAAAAAAGAGCCTTCCATTCCAATTTCAAACATATGCTGTGTGTAGAAGGAACTCCTTTGGGAGACATATAAAATTAAAGACACTGTCTGTAAACCCATGCGGCTCTTTTTGGTTGATGGAACTCTCCATAATCATCCACCTCAGATCATTATTACTCTCTCTGAGTGCTGAGGTTTGTAGTTCTGAGCATTCATCTTTTCAATAGATAGGGGATCTGAGACATCACAAGTTAGTGTGAGCACTGCCCACAATGGCAGTACATTTGTTTCAAGGGACATGGAAGTTATTTACTTAGAATAAATAGGCTTTAAGGCCTAAATAATCTAAGAAATATGGTTGGCATAATGAAAATTAAACGTAGTTCATGTTTGATAGGTCCACACACAATCTCGCCAGAGATAGAAAATATGCCACGCAGATTATAAAAAAAGAAAAAGTAGTTTACTCTTCATAATTCAGAACAACACATATACAGTTATGTGATCAGTTGCATTGACTAATACAATGTCCTTTTTGAGAGATTTAAAGGGGTCTTTCTTGTGGCGAAACTCCTTCCAGCATCTCATGAAGCAAGTACACACACCAAACAGTTTCTCTCTGTCGCTCTCTGCTTCTCTGCAAGCACCTGCACAGCTCAAGCCCGAAAGATATAACAGTATTTAAAAAGTCCCAGCCTCAGCCAGCTCCCCGGGCATAGCCCAACCAATCAGTTATGTGCATCTTATTTTACAGTTGACACATACACACTAATTTTTACATGCTCCAACAATATGGGACTATTTTCTTATGAGAATTTTAGAGCTCACATTTACCCGTATTTGGATTTAGATAAGATAGTTTTAGTGTGAATTTCTGATAGTTACTTGAGCTTATCTTTAATTGAGAAATGTCTTGGCTGCTTAAGCCTTAGCTAATATCTCCGCTTCAAGCTCCATTATGGAGTAAACATGCACTATCGTGACCTAAATAAATGTTTGGTTTATGAAGTGGGGAGCCAACCTAGCAAATATGTCTTTTGGGTGTTTTCTACTGATATAAAACACCTGATGGGTCAATTAATCATTGTTAAACTTTAGGTTTTAAATGCATCATGGTGTCATTGTTTTTAGTGTTTTATTGTTTTTGCTTGATGTTTATTATTTGCTTATGAGTTTTACTGTTATATTTGTATGTTTTGTAGTTGGCGGCCTTGGCCTTTGTAAGCTGCATCGAGTCCTTCGGGAGATTTTGCGGGGTATAAATAAAGATAATGATAATAATAATAATAATAATAATAATAATAATAATAATAATAATAATAAAGTTGATTTTATACCATTAGTATTGTCACAGTTTGATCACCCACGAATCTATTTTGGTATGGTTGGCCTAATTCAGATCTGATACGCAAAAAACATTTACTCCAAAACCTAAAACAATATTAGACAAAGAAAATAGACGTCAAGAATGCTCCATTTTAACTATACATAAAAAGGAGTTGAGTGACAGTGCACCCAAATAATAAAGAGATACCTAAAATGTTCAGCATTGCTTAACTTTTATTGAGCTCCCTGTTAACCAGCTACCCATCCTACAGCAAACTTGGTCAACAAAGCAATGCTTAATATTTTGAAATTCATGATCATTTGGTAGGTAGGTAGAGTTTATGAGGACACCCCATGTAAAGAGTAGAGGCCTCTTTACATTTTGAAATATATGGTGTTATTAAAAGGACCTTTCGGACTTCTTGTTTCTCTCCTTCTTGTTCCAATGAGACACTAGCCATGAATTATTGCCTTTTCATGCCCTTCTACACTGCTATATAAAATCCAGATTATCTGCTTTGAACCGGATTATATGGATTAATTGAACTGGATTATATGGCAGTGGACCCGCCCCCTCCCCATGGTGGTGCAGTGGGTTAAACCACTGAGCTTCTGAACTTGCTGACCAAAAGGTTGGCAGTTTGAATCCGTGGAGTGGGGTGAACTTTTGCTGTTAGGCCCTGCTTCTGCCAACCTAGCAGTTCGAAAACATGCAAATGTGAGTAGATCAATAGGTTCTGCTTCTGCGGGAAGGTAACAGCACTCCATGCAGTCACGCTGGCCACATGACTTAGGAGGCATCTAGGGACAACGGCAGTTCTTTGTCTTAGAAATGAAGATGAGCACCAACCCCAAAGTCAGAGATGACTAGATTTAATGTCAGGAGAAACATTTACCTTTACCTACATGACAGTGTAGACTTATATATTCCAGTTCAAAGCAGATAATGTGGATATATAATGTGGATTATCTGCTTTGATAATCTGGATTATATGGCAGTGTAGAAGGGGCCTCAGATATGAGAAAAGTAGATAATTATGGCATATGTCAACCCCCCCCCCCCCAAAAAAAGCCCAAAAAGATGGGAAACAAAGCTCAACATGTTCATCTTCATTCCTCCTGGATATAGAAGTCAAGACTAAACTTTGCAGCATGGAACACTGTGAATTCCAGCTGGTGAGATACTTCTGCTCACATTTGGTGCTTTCATGCTTGCATATTTACATAACTCTGTTCCATCTGCTTGTTATTTGTTAAAGGTATTTGGTAAGAGAGAAAGTCGGCTGCATAAGTCAAAAATAATAATACCAGGTGCAATTCAGTTGCTTTCTCAAAATACCACCAGTATTCTTCTATTTGTATGGATAGATTTATTTATGCTCCCGTAACAGTTCTTCAGGCTGGAAACAAAAGAGAGAATTAATAGTCATTAGCCACTTAACAACCATTAGCTGAAGAGGGAAGGTAAAGAGCAGTGGGAAGGACAGAGCTCTCTGTGTTACATGTGGCCACTTTATACTCCAATATTTATTTATTCACCTTATTTGTACCCTGCCTTTCTCTACCTAGTTGGGGGGGGGGGGGGGGTTTACAAATGGCACCTACACAGTGCTTCAAAATATACAAAATTCACCTAAAATTGTTTGGATTGAAAGTACAAAATAATAAGCATGATTAAAATACATTCAAGATTAAAACACGCCACCCAGAGTTCAAGGTCTAAAGCCATTCCATTAACAATTGCACATAATTCCAGATTAAGATTCCTGCACTGCACTATTTTTCTAAAGCATGCTCCCAGAGCCAGGTTTTGACTCTCCTCCTGAAGGCTAATAGGGAGGGGACTGATCAGATGTTGCTAGGGAGGCACCACCACTGAGAAGGCCCTGTCTCTCATCCCAACCAGCCGCACTCGGTGGGACCAAGAGCAGGGCCTCCCGAGATGATCTTAGTCTCTGAGCTGGTTCATAGCGCAAGATTCATTTGGACAGATAGGGCTTTATAGGATAAAGCCAGCACTTTGAATTGTGCTCAGTAACAGACTGGCTGTCAGTGCTGCTGACGTAATTTGGGGGGGGGGGGCTGTGTGCTCCCTGAATGTCACTCTGGAGAGAAATCTGGCTGCTGCTCACTGGACCAGTTGAAGCTTTCGAACAGTCTTCAAAGACAACCCAACATAGAGCGCATTGCAGTAATCTATATGGGATTTAACCAGAGCATGGACCACTGTGGCCAAGACTGACTTCCCAAGGTACAGGCACATCTGGCGCACAAGTTTTTATTGTGCAAAATCTCCCCTGTCCACTGCTGAGACCTGAGATTCCAGGCTCAACAATGAATCCAGGATCACTCCCAGGCTGCGAACCTATGCTTTCGGGGGAGTGTAACTCCATCGAGCACAGACTGTAACTCTATACTCTGTTCAGCCTTTCGGATGACCAGGAGGACCTCTGTCCTCTAAGTCATCATCATGTCCTCAGTTGCAATCTTTCCAATAATCAGTAATGAAAGAAGGTTCAGTTGCCCATACATTGAGTCTCCTAATGTATCCTGCAGCCACAAGAATGCTATGGCACTTCAGAAGCTATTTTAGCACAAGTATTCTCACCTTTCCTGTGAAACAAGATGGAGTGATGGGCATTACCCTCCATGGAAGATAGATAAAGAAGGTACAAGAAAAGAAGGGAATGCTAAGTTAAAGTTTACTGCTTTTATACTCAGTCTATAAATACATTTATTATACTATAGTTATGTAATCTGTATAAACATAAAGCTGTACCAGAAACTGAACAGACATGTTCTGCAGATAGCACCAAAAAGGCCGAGGGGGGGTGGGGGTGGCAGAGGGAAGAGAAGAGAGGATTTGCATTGCTACATTTTGAAATATTATACAGAAAGCTATAATGGTAATAAACTGACAATGAAATCTTAGTCATATTAAGGGCACTTTGCTTTCAATTGCTAGAAACTTAGAATGTGTATTGTGAGATTGCTGCAACTTTCGCTCAAGCAAAAGGTTAATTTGTACTAAATAGATTAATTTTAGCACTGGAAAGTGGAGAGATGAAGAAACACCAAAATATCTTGAGCTCTTTCTAATATGATGAAGTGCAACAGTGTCCCCTAGTGGGAGAGAAAACCCTTTTCTCTTTATCAGTCCTCCGCCAGTAAATTGCCTAAGTAATGCCTGAGCTCCTTGAATGAATTATTCAACCGTACTGCCTTGCCCAAATAAATGTAAGATGTTTTAGTTTCAAAAATTGCCACTGAGGAAATTGGCTGCAGAAGAGTATCATGATTTGTCATAATTTTATTTTCCAGAATTACGATTTTGCAAGGAGATTGGAATCGTCAACTGACAATTATGGAATGTCACTTTAGTTGGACAAACAATGAATAGCACTGAAAAGAAGTTATATTATGGGGCATGTGCAATAGGTTAATGCTCCCTGGCACATATTCCCTATGCTTTCTCACTTTATCCCAGAGACATAGGAAATATTTAGTTGAACCCTAAACATCTCCTATTTCTCTTGAACCCTAGGGTTCCCTGGTGGCACAGCAGGTCAAACTGCTCAGCTGCTGAACTTGGAGACTGAAAGGTTCAAATCCAGGGAGTCAGGTGAGCTCCTGTTGTTAGGCCCTGCTTCTGCCAACCTAGCAGTTTGAAAACATGCAAACGTGAGTAGATCAATAGGTACCGCTTTGGCGGGAAGGTAACGGTGCCCCATGCAATCACGCTGGCCACATGACCTTGGAGGTGTCTACGGACAATGCCAGCTCTTTGGCTTAGAAATGGAGATGAGAACCACCTCCCAGAGTCGGACTCGACTAGACTTAATATCAGGGGAATCTTTACTTTACCCTTAGTTGAACCCTTCCCCTTCAAAAGTCAGAGATTTGAAGAACCATGAAGACTAAGCTCACACTGAGATATTCAACTCCCAATACCCCAGTATAACACAAAAGAATCAAAGAATACAAATTGACCTCAAAACTTCAGTCCTGTGCTAGTGCAGGAAACATTGGATTTCGACCTCAGGCTTGGCTTTAAAATATCTAATGAAGCATCCACCACCTTCTGCAGTGATCTATTCCACTTTGAAAGCACTCATCAGTGTCTAGAAAATTACTCTAATGAGACCTCTAAATCCTTTTCCTTGTCTTTTGAAACCCTTTGAAGCAAGAGATAACAAGTGGGTTGCATTAGCAGCATAGTTGTATAGGTGGTGGAGGACATGAAAGAATGGACATAGGCTCTGTCCTTTTTTGCCTTTGCAGCTCCAACTTTCAGCCACAGCTGTCCCTTCCCAACACAGCTGTCTCCCTGGTGATAACAGGATGGAGGGGCATGGAGGAGCATCCACCATTATCCATATTGATGGCACCTTCATGCCCCATTGGTGAAACAAGAGCTGTGTGGGAAGGAAATAGCTGTGGTTGAAAGTTGGCATTTAGAAGGTAATAGAGAATCGACACCTTTGTTCAATTTGTCAAAGTTTTGCTTAACGATCTCCCCAGGCCCTTTAGTACTTTACACTGGGAAATAGGCCAGTCTTTGTGCCAGAAGATAAAGGCACAGACCACACATTATGATACACAAATTCAGTTATAGAACACTTCAGTTTTTCTGGATATTCCATCTCTGACCTCAGAACAGCTGTACTTGAACAAAAACAAAATTATAAAGGAGGCTTGGAAAGAAAAACAGTACAATTTTAATATATCCTCAAATTGCAGTCCATTAACAGTGGGTTGACTAGAGACTATGCTTTCATTGCACACTACACATATTATAACACTAGTTAACACTTCAGACTCACGAGGGCCTTCTTTGTCACATCTCCTTTCTGACATGTAATCACTACCCCATTCATATGTCATCTATTCAACTCAACTTTAGATAACTTTGTCGAAGGTTTTCATGGCCAGAATCACTGGGTTGTTGTAGGTTTTTTCGGGCTATATGGCCATGTTCTAGAGGCATTCTCTCCTGACATTTTGCCTGCATCTATGGCAAGCATCCTCAGAGGTAGTGAGGTCTGTTGGAACTAGGAAAATGGGTTTATATATCTGTGGAAAGACCAGGGTGGGACAAAGAACTCTTTGAAAGCACTTATCAGTGTCTAGCTCCAGCAGACAAGAGTTCTTTGTCCCACCCTGGTCATTCCACAGACATATAAACCCATTTTCCTAGTTCCAACAGACCTCACTATCTCTGAGGATGCTTGCCATAGATGCAGGCGAAACGTCAGGAGAGAATGCCTCTAAAACATGGCCATATAGCCCGAAAAAACCTACAGCCCTTTAGATAACTTATTTCCTCCTGCCTTTGCCCCCTCCCCCAGTCATAATTAAAACTGAACTTGTCACCTAACCCCCCATTTTGCTTTACTATGGGTAATGTCATTATTTGCAGCAGAGGAAATAGACTTTGTCTATGAAAGCTTATGCTGCCAACTTTGTTCTTTCGGTTAGTCTTTAAGTGCTACAAGATAACCTTTCCATATTGATATTCCAGATTAAAATTCTGATCACTACAGGATTGAAGTCACAGGAGCTTCATTCTGTATCTAATTTGGCAGTATAAAGAACATGGTCAACGTATGGATTTCTCCTTCTCTGCCAACCAATGTATGTGGATGTTCTCATGAAAATCTCTGCTGGGAAACTGCAGTTGGTGAATTCCATGCATATTGGAGCTGGGGCATCATTTCCACACTTTTTGCATCAGAAGATATAGGTAAACTAATGAGATCACTGAACCGTGTAAGCTATTTTCAGATGTTATAAATCCTGCATAACAGTTGCTCCATTGCAGCAGCACTGTGGTCCAATTTTTTATAGATTTATTTTACTTATTTATTGATCTTCTTGTGTTTCTTGCTCTGTGGGTCCCAAATTTCTTACCAAGGAAAAGTTCTACAGAAACTGAAAAAAAACTATGTCAGCTACTGGCTACTCCCAAGCAGAGAAACCCAGTGAATTAAGTTATGAATAGTGAGTTCATACATAGGTAAATCATATTAATTCATCTACTCTATTCTACATTAGCCATGTAATGTATTTACTTCCAATGCTGGCATATTTTTTTGAAACAATTATTTCAAAGATAAAAAGATTAGTTATTGTGATATTCTTGCACCTCTCTGGATTCTACCCACATTGTTGCCTCGGATTCTACCATCAGGTTACAAGATTTAGTTTTGTTCAGTTGTTCTTCTCACACAGAAATTTGTATGCGTTTTTCATATTCATATTTCCAAATTTACACATTGTGCCCACATTTGTCCCATTAGCTAAAACACAGCATTTTTATTGTATGCATTTTTATCCATTTGTACTGTGAAATGAATCTATGTTTTAGAGTGCATATTTTATTTTTTCCAAAATTCACCCA